TGGTTCCAAACAACATTGCTGTGTTTATCCATCTATGCTCTTTCCCACAATTATCACATTTCAAAATTGCTACACTGATACCACTGCCCATAACAGACCAACTAAGGGAAGGTGAAGATTGACTTGCAGCTCTTTTTGATTGTAGTCTCTCCATCCTGCTGAAGGTGTTTACATCCAGAAGAGGCACCTCCTGAACTGGGCTTTGATGGGTAAATAGGAGTCTCTGGGAAGAGAGCATCATGCAAAGGGACATGCATGTGTCAAAGGCTGCGGATGCAGGGACCGTGCTGCGTCCCCCCTGCTATGGCTGGAGGCCAGTGCTATTTGGAGGAAGGGGAATAACAGGATGAGTCTGGAGAGGAGGGGTCATGGATGGATGGGGCTAGTAGCTTGGAAGAGCCTTGAATGTCAGCCAAGGAGCAGGGGGTTGATGTAGCCAGTGTTAGGGAGTCATGGGAGGCACTGGAGTCTAGAAAATGTGGAGGACAGATTGGCAAATTGGTGGGGGTGGCTTGGGGCCACAGACACAGCGCCTGAACTGGCAAGGTGACTTTGCAGCATTTCTCCTCTGGAAACTCAGTTTTGTCATCTGTAACATGGGTACAAAAATGGACTCACTCCCTGGGCTGCCCAGGGGCTCCACATGAGGCAGACCTGGCCCCGACGTCCGATGTGGGGCCTGTTCAGCGCACACACCGCCCCTGCTCTGAGAGAGTTCTGCTTCCTCTTTCTCCCCTGACAGGGGCAGTTTCAGTCTCAGCTTCAAAAGAACAAACACGCTCTCAGAACAAAGGAAGACGGGCTTTGACTGCAGAGGAAGCAGGAAGCACAGGCCCTGCTCTGAGCCCAGCTGCAGGGGCTCAGGGACTGCAGCATGGAGTCCGTGGCCCTGTACAGCTTCCAGGCCACGGAGAGCGATGAGCTGGCCTTCAACAAGGGCGACACACTCAAGGTAGGGTGGCCAGAGCAGGCTGACCTGGCCCCGCATGGGATGAGGGGCTTAGGAACTAGGGCCCCGGGCAGCCCCCCAGACAGAGTCCAGCCTCTGCAAGAGGACAGCCCAGCTTCTCCAGTTATCAGTTATGTGATTCTGGACAAGTCACCTCCTCCCTCTGAGCCTCGGCTTCCTCGTCTAGGAAATGCGGAGATAATTAATGACCCCTCTTTTAGGAGCTGTTGTGAGGATTCAAGGAGACCTTAATGGAGTATCTGGCAGGAGTGGGCTCAACCCCCAGTTTTCCAGGAAAGAATTTGAAAGGACAGTTGGGGAGAGACAAAGAGAAAGGGAGGGAGGAAAAGGATGGAGAGAGAAGTCTGAGGAAAGAAGGAAGAACACAATTTATAGGGGCTAAAATACTGAGACTTACATATTGAAAGACATAAACCAGCCACCTGGCCCCCTAGCCCCAGGGGACATGCTGGGCTTCCCAAGGGGAGCATTCCCTATGCTTGCCTCCAAGCTCCTCGGATTTGGGGTGAAGGTGGATCCCAACCCCCCTGATGATACTGTTCTGAGGCTTTGAAACCTCAGCTGAAGGTGAGCCAGAAAGAGGCATCTTGTAACATCCTGTCCCCCTGGGGCCTGGGGCAGGCGGAAGACAGGGAGGGCCCGGGAAGGGAAAGGATGGGCTCCCTGAAAGGGTGCAATGAAAGGAAAATAAAGTTACACCGCAGTTCATTCCTCCTCACCGATGGACATCGGAGCCCTCTGAGGCAGCCCAGGCACTGGGCCTGTGCCATCACTTCTGGGTTGGAAGTGTCCCTGCTTCCAAGTGTGCACATGAGAGCCGAGCTCAGGGGCCAGATTCAGGAGTGGCCACAACAAGGCCCAGCCCTGGGGCTGCCATGGGCTCACGTAAGGAAGTCCCTGTCCCTCTCTGGGCCTGGGACAGCAGGCATTAGACCGCGTGTCTCTTCACCCCGAGCCCTGGGCCCCACTCGTGGCCCCAAGCTTCGAGCACAAGAAGGGACAGGAGCAACCATTCACTGAGCCTGCTCTAGCCAGGTCCCCTGCTCGGCAGCATGCTCCAGCATCCTGTTCGAAGCTGCTGAGATGAGGAGGGCCAGCACCCCCATTTCATGGGTGACTAAACTGAGGTTCAAGGAGTGACACCACTTCTTTGGCATGGGGTCATATTCAAACCTGTGTCCTTTGACTCTGGAACCTGCATTCTGTCCCCTATGAAACTGAACAGGCTGGGCTGGGGGCTGGGGGGTGATGTTCCCCCAAGAGGAACCACGTCCCCTTGAGGAGGTCCCTTTGCCTCTGCCGGGAAGCCAGTACCTGAGCTGTCGTCTGGGGGCCCCATGGGCGTGTGGCCAGCTAGGGCCGGGGCAGGCTTAGCACCAGCGCTATCTGATCAGGGCACAAGACTTTGGGAGCGCCCATCTAGTTCAGGGCCTCTTTACCCAAAGAACAGTTCGGGGTCTCTAGACGCAGATTTGGGGCTTCAGAGGGAGTGTAACAGGGAGGAGATAGGAATGGGATGGGTAGTAGGCTCCAACTGAGGGTCAGAGTGACCGGCCACTGGTGGGAGGGTGGCTCAGTGCAGGTCCCCAAGGCAGTTATGGTAAAGACCGTGATGTTCCCACTTCCTGCCCAGGCTCCTGTGCCCGCCACCGCCACCCCAAGATCAGTCAGGTTTCCCACTACCCTTTGCTGATGCGTCAGCTGACTCCTGGTGTGTTGGCTTCAGACAGAGGTGCTGGCTGCTAAGGAAGGAGGGGCCTCATGAAGGCGGGCGCAGCACAGGAGCGCCAGGGCAGAAACAGGCCTGGCCCAGAGTGGGTGTCCATAGGACGTGGGAAGGTTGAAGGCAGAAAGGAAGGATCGAAATGACGGCTGAAATGAGGTGCCCCTCTCAGGGGGACTTGCACCTCATGTCCTTGGAGACCAAGGTGGGGATCCTTTGAGCTTAAGAATGACAGCAATGACAGGCAGCAGGAAGGACGCCTTTCCCTCATTTACTCAAATAAACACCTGCCAAGCGATGCAGCACCCACTCTGTGCCAGGCACTTTCCTCAGCGCTGAGGACACAGCAATGAGCTAAGCAAAGTCCCTGCCTTTCTGGGGCTGGCATTCCAGAGTGTAAGGTGACATCTGGAGGTGATAAGTGGAATGAAGACATTGACACAGGGAGATGGAATGCAGAGTGACAATGAAGGAGGGGGCAGAGGGACCGCTTTAGATGCAGTGGTCAGGGCAGTCTCTCATAAAGAGGTGACACCTGAGCTAAGACCTGAAGGATGAGTGGGAACCAGCCGTGCAAAGAGCGGGGGAAGAGAGCATGGGGTGGGTGGTGAGGGGTGGGTGAACAGCTGGTGCAACGGCCCTGAGGCAGGACCATACTGGGATGCTTAAAGAGTTTGTGGTGAAGAGCAGCAAGTGAGGTGGGAGAGGGTGTAGATAAGGTTGGGGGTGGGCAGGAGTCAGGGCCTGTGAAGGGTGTGGATTTCATTCTAAATGGGAGCTGTACTCACTGAAGGGTTTTTAGCAGGGGGAGGACTTGATCGGGTTTATGTTTTGAAAAGACGACAGAGGAGACAGGATTGGGCTTTGCAGTCTACCAGGAATGAAATGAAGGTGGCTTAGATTAAGAAAAAATACATGATAAAAATGACAAAATTATTAATGTCATTGATATGTAAAGAAGTCTGATATATTGACAAGAAAATTATATACAGCCTAATAGAAAAATAGAGAAAGTATATGAAGAGAAAAATTGCCAAGAAGCAATACAAGCAAGTGTTTCACCAGTGAGACAAGACATGCACCTTAAAGCAAGTAACTGTTTTCCATTTGTCAGATCAGCAAAATTTTATTTTAAAAAGAATCTCTGAGGTTGATGAGGGTTTGGGAAAATGTGCCCTTTTATATTCAGGTGGTGGACAGGCAAAGCTACCCAATCATTTTGCAGGGCATGGGGGGATCAGAAAAAGCCTTCAGATATCCATGCCCTGTGACCCAGAAATCCTGCCTCTGGGAAATGAAGACATAATCAGAGATGTACGTGGCCTCCTCCAGGAAGCATCCGAGGATACGCAGAGCATCCTTGGTCCTGGTCTGGGCACTGGCAACTCAGCAGGCAGAAAACAGACATAGTCCCTGCTCATGCAGCTGGCGTTCTGGAGGCAGACATGGGCCACAGGCCAGATAAGTGAGTAAAATACAGGGTTTGTCAGATGGAGACAGTGCCTGGAGAACACAGAAGCAGGCTGGGGATGGGGAATGTTGGTAAGAGTTTGCAATTTAGAATCAACCTGGATTACCTATTCAGGTGCAAAATGTTATGCAGCTCCTAAACATGCTATTTGGGGAAGGCTGCTCATGAAGCAACATTATGTGGCAAAAAGCAGAATACAAACGTGTACACAGAAAATCAACTCTACACAGATAATCAATGGGTATTAATTTTGGAGAAAGAAAACTGGCATTCAGGTACTGGGTTTGGGCCTAGAAAAAAGACTGAAAATAAATGTACTGATCAGCTAGCAGCTGTCAGTTCTGGGAGGTGACTTATGGGCAATTTTTATTTTCTTCTTTACTTTTTCTGTACTTCCTGGATGTTCTACAATAAGCAAGTGTGCCTTCCAGGACCAGATGAAGCGGGGGTGTGGGTGGGGCCCTCACTCTCATGGTTGTACAGGTCCAAGGTCAAATGCTGCCTTTATTTTAGACTTGGATATTTTGGGGGTTTTTTGCATTACTTTTTAAATAGGCTTCATTTTTTAGAGTCATTTTAGATTTACAGAAAACTTAAGAAGATAGGACAGAGGGATACCCATCTGCCCTGCACCCAGCTTCCTCTATTGGCCTCATCTTACATAATTAGCGTGTAAATTTGTTACATGAATGGATTGATATTGATATATTATTATTTTTAAAGATAATGAATGAGATTATTTATTGAAATATAGGTTTTTGTCAGGTTTCAGGTGTACAACATAGTGATTCAACAATTATACATATTATAAAATGCTTACTGTGATAAGTGTAGTTACCATTTGTCACCAGATTAAATTATGACAATAGTATTGACTATATTCCCTGTGCTGTACTTTTCATCTCCGTGACTTATTTTATAACTAAAAGTTTGTCCCTCTTTATCCCAGTCACCTGTTTTGCCCATCCCCCTGCACCCTCCCTCTGACAACCACCAGTCGGCTCTCCGTATTTTTTAGTGTATTTCTGTTTTGTTTGTTCTTATTTTTTTTAGATTCCACGTATGTGCCATCATATGATATTTGCTCTTCTCTGGCTGACTTATTTCACCTATCTAAATACCCAATGTTCCATCCACTTTGTCACAAATGGCAAGGTTGCATTCTTTTTAATGGCTGAATAATATTCTACTGTGTAATGTACCACCTCTTCTTTATCTGTTCATCTACTGATGTTGTTTCTGTATCTTGGCTTTTGTAAATATGCTACAGAAAACATAGAGGTGCATATGTCTTTTCAAATTAATGATTTCGTTTTCTTTGGATAAATACTCAAGTGGAATTGCTGAATCATTTGGTAGTTCTATTTTTAATTTCTTAAGGAATCTCCAGCTGTTTTGCAGTGGCTGCACTACTTTACACATTCCCACGAACAGTACAAGAAGGTTCCGTTTACTCCACGTCCTCGCCAACACTTGACTTGTTATTTCTTGCCTTTTTGATACTTGCCATTCTGATGGTGTAAGGCAATCCACTGTTATCAACTAATGATCACATGCAGAGTTTTTGCATTAGTTTTATTGTCTTACATATTGTCTTAAAATATTTTTTATCTCGATTCCTGAGCTTCTTAGGTGCCCCCTTAAATTTTGCTCTTGAGGTGCCTCGCCTGCCTCTTTCTTGTGCAGGGAGTGCTTTCTGTAACAAAAAATGTGGCTGTGAAGTTGTGCTGTGTCCCCTCTTGTCTCCCCCACCAGGGCCATGAGTGGGTCTTGTGGCCAGCCCTATTCAGTTGGTTTGGGGTGGAAGCTGTGCCATTCATTTATCCAGTGAGCCTTTCCCGAGTGCCTTCGTAAACTAGGCCATTCCCAGTCATGCCACCACACCTCAGCCTCTGGGAACTCACAGTGAGCAGATCTAAGCTCTGGTCTTGGAGAAAGCTTTGTAGCACAAGACTGACCTTGGACAGATGGCCCCAAACATCACTTCCCTGGAACAAAGCCCCCTCCCTGATGGGCCAGGCATTTCTGGCTGTGGAGTGCCCAGCTGGAGGAGGGAAACAGATGGCGGCTTCACCCCAATCTCTCCATGGATGACCTGGTTCCTAGACCCAGACCCTGGAAGCCCACAGCCTCCTTGACATCTCCAGGGTGAGGGTCAACGGCACCTCAGGCCCCACACAGTCAGCCTTGATCCATTCCCCCAGCAGCTGATGGCCATCGCTCAGGCCCAGACCCCTGGAGCTGTCCTGGCTGATCCCCACCCATCCTGAGTCCTGTGAGTGACCGCCAAAACCTACCCAAACCTGAGCACATCTGTGCCCCCCCAAGTCCAGTCCTGCCTCCTCACTCACCTGGGCTGGTGCAGAGGTGCCCCACTGCCCCCACTCCCACTGCTGCACATGGCAACCTTAACACAGAGCCTGAGCCTCCCCCAACGGCCTCCAATGACTCCTCTCAGCTTTTAAAATTTATTCTGAACTGCTCCCCATGGCACACGCACCTGTGCTCTCACCCTGCGCACCTCTCCCCATTCATCTCACAATGCTGCCCTCCCACCTCAGCTCCAGACACGCTGGCCTCCCCATTCTGGGGATGGGCTTGCCCCCACTCAGGGTCTTGGCGCTGGCTCTTCCCTCTGCCTTGGGCATTTTTCCCCACATCTCACACCTGGTTCTGCCCTGTAATTCAGGCCTCTGCTCACAGGTCACCTCCTCAGAGCAGCCCTTCTTGCAAGCCCTGGCTCCCCTCTGGGCCCCCAGCTGGTCATCCTTGTCCTATTTCAGAGCACTTACCACTATACCCAGTCACCTTGTTTAACTTGTTTCTTCCTTCTTTTATAGTCCACCTCTGCCCACTAGAATGTAAGCTCCTTGTTCCCTGCTGTATTGCTAGGGCACAGCACAGTGCCTGGCACACAGTAGGTGCTCAGGATATGGCAGGGAACAGTGGAGCAGGACAACATCTGGGTGGATGGCACAGTGGGAGCAAAGGCCTGGGTACAGCCCGGGAGGAGCTGGTCTCTCTCCTGTGTGGGAATTCCAGTGTCTCAGAGGGTCTGGGCTTTCAAACAATGTTAACAGTAAGAATTCAGCCAGTGTAACCAATGAGAACATTTCTGGGTTCTTGGAGTGGAGATGACAGGAAAACAAAACAAATAAACAGAACAGAGTTTGGATCAGATATATTATGTTCACGTGGTCACATAGGCAAGACTCTGTAGTTCACAAGACACCGTCACATTCAGCATAGGCCATAAATGTGCCCATTTCACAGATGAGGAAACTGAGGTCACAGCTAATGGAGAGTCAGAGGCAGACAAAGTGGTCTAGAGTTACAGGGCATCTTCCTTGAATCGGTGGCTGCAATAGGCAGCCCAGGGGTTTACATTTTCTCATTATGTTGGGGAATTGTTTTGTTTTTAGTAAGTTCTCCTGAGTCAGCCATCTGCTTCCGTCAGTCTCAGGGCTGCTAACCTTCCCCTGGCTCCAGGGGCAGGAAGGAAGATGCTCAACAGGGCCCAGAGGATGGACAAGGGGGTGCCTGTCTGCAAGGCCGGGGCCTCAGGTCTGGGCCCAAGGGAGCCAATCCCAGCTGCCCTGGCACTGGCCTGGCCCCCCGGCCTCTGCCTCTGCATAGCCACTGCCTGGAATGCTGCTCTAGACCTGATTTTCCCTGTCGACAAACGTCCTCCCTGGGACTGAGCTGGCACAGTGACCCGCTGCGGGACTGGCAGGGGAGGCGGCCCCAGGCCCCCGGCCCCAGAGTCCCTGCTTGCAGTGCTGGCTCTGCCTTGCTCCTGTGGGGCGGCCTTGCTTTCTGCCCCTCTCTGGCCTCAGTTTCTCCATCTGTGGAAGTGCCTTTGGTGATATTGACCTTGAAGGGTTGTTTGAGAATCAGAGTGACACACGAATGCTTGCTGAGGAAAGAGGGGGAGCCCCCGGCCTGGCCTGCCCCTCCCCACGGCAGCTCAGTAGCTCTCCCACAGTGCCCCCCACCCCGACTCTGGCTGTTTCAGTTCCTCTTGGACAACCTGTGGAGCTGTGGTGAGGCCCCCACATGCCAGGGTGAGGCCCCCACATGCCAGGCCTGGCATGCCGTGTGACCACAGCATGCCAGGACTGAGCCTCAGCCCAGCTCAAAGGTCTTCCTTATTTGCTCCTGGATGGCTGAATCCCCATTGCACCCACCCCACTGGATTGTCACCCCTGAGCTCAGACTGTAGGGACTATTGAAATGCAGTGATCCCAGGAGGCTGTCCCTAGGTGCTGAGCTCAGGCTGACCCCCCAGCCTTCCTGACCACCTCAGGCCTTCAGTCCATGGCTCAGTGCATGGCATGCAAATGCTGTGGGACCCACAGAAGCTGGGCCCTCAGGTTCAGCTTGGGAACTAAGGCACCCCAGATCTGCCTCCCAACACCTCTCAGTCTGCTGGGGGTCTGTGGGGTGGAGCCTAAGAGTCCTTCAGCCCCACAAAGTTCAACCCACTGACCAAAACCTCTGGGTCCTTGACTATCCCACCTGGGGGGTTGTGACCCTACAGGGGACGGGCTGTTCTGAGGCTGGGGAGCAAGCAGGACTGTGAAATCACACAGGGCCCTTGTGACTTTGGGCAGGTCCCGAGCCCTCCCCTGTGGAATGGGCCCCAGGACTGGCCTTGGTGCCACCCCTCTGGGGCCCTCAAGCAGCAGGACCTCAGCAGGTGATAGCTGTCTGTCCTCAGTGACCAAGCGGCCGTGTCTCTCCTCCCCACAGATCTTGAACATGGAAGATGATCAGAACTGGTACAAGGCTGAGCTCCGGGGTGCTGAGGGGTTTATCCCCAAGAACTACATCCACATCAAGCCCCACCCGTGAGTGGCCACCACCTTAGTCCTGTGTCCTCGAGGCACCCTCTCTGCCCAGCCCTGCAGCCAAATGGCCCTACCTGGCCTGGATTGGGCTGCACGGAGCTGCCTGCAGGGCCTGGGCCACAGCGCATCCCTTGGGTGCGGGGACCCCTCCCTCCAGCCTCTGTCCCTGTGTCCGGGGCCCCTCAGTCTCTACCCTGAGCAGGCGCAGGGGACAGAGTGTGAGGACCTGCCCAAAGGGCTGGCACAGTTGGCACCAGCCAGGCTACTACACTGGGGACCTGGACCACCAGACTACCTCCAGGAGAGCCGTGGAGAAGACTGGCCCTGGGCCCTTGGCTGGCGGGGCCACCGGCTGCTGCCTGGCTTCGGGCAGGTCCCTCCTCTCCCTGTTCCTTAGTTTCCCTATCTGTAACATGGGGAGAACTAAGGCTCCGATCTGCAGAGGATTCTAGAGCTCTAAGAGTTGGGTTCAGCCCCTTGCAAAGGTTGGAAGTGAGGCGGGGTGTTGGAGGGGTAGAGAGGTGGGCAGGAAGCAGACCCTGTGGGTCCCACTTTGGGGTACATGGGGGAGCTGGGCGTGGGCTGAGCAGAGTCTGGTACCAGGGCAGAGTGTGAGTCTGGTGTGGGATCCCGGTGGCCCGTCAGCCTCTGAGCAGGGCAGCCCAGTGCTGCTGCCCCGGGAAGGCTGGGGCAGAGCCACAGTGGCCAAGAGCCTATGAAAAACCAACTGGATAGGCTTGAAATGTTGGCTGAGGTAGCCCCAAGATACAGCGGCTTACTCAGTCATTCATCAAACATCAGCCCCAGGGGCCCGGCCCGGGTGAGGCTGGAGACACAGGAGACGCTGGGGTCAGAGCATCCCTGCCCTGTGGGGCAGGACATAAGGAAAGGGTGATTGGAAAGGCAGTCAGCCCCGAGGTAACAACCAGGTAAGGCTTCTCGGAAGAGGTAGCAGTGAGTGGGGCTCTGAAGGATTATAGGAGTTAGCTATGTAGAAGAAAAGAAAGGCATTCCTGGGAGAGGGGACAGGTGACCACCTGTCATGGGTTTTCTCATGGTGCTGGGACTGGCAGCAGGGCCTCAGACGACAGGCCCAGGGTGGTGGGGACCCAAGGAGTTGTCTGAGCAGAGGACTCAGTGAGATGTGAGGCGTGACAGGGCTGCACAGGCTGGGGGGGCGGGCTGGGGGCCACCGCGGGTGTGTGGCTGTGGGGGAGGGAGGGGGCAGCCCGGATGGTATTTCCTCTCTATCTGTCTTCGAGTTATTTTCAAAGCTGTCACCTCCCACATCCTGAGCTGGGTGGGGGGGCGGGCTGGGGGCCACCGCGGGTGTGTGGCTGTGGGGGAGGGAGGGGGCAGCCCGGATGGTATTTCCTCTCTATCTGTCTTCGAGTTATTTTCAAAGCTGTCACCTCCCACATCCTGAGCTGGGTGAAGCCCCGTCCTACCTACTGGGCACTGCCTGGGTTCCGGCCCCCCCCAGCCTCCCTCACAGAGGCTGTAGCCCTGTGTTCCAGCCCCCGCAGGGTCCCTCTGGGCTTGGTGACATCAAGCAGGCGTCGGCCCCTCAGGCCTTACAGCATGAGGGGAGAGAGGGAGAGCTCAGCCCAGGGTCACCAGCCAGGCAGCTGCCCAGGCACCTATAAGCCACCGTAGGACACAGGTGGGAGCCGCCATGGCTGGCTGGTCAGGAAGAGGCCGCCGGGTGGGGGAAAGCACCTGGGATGCCTGAGGTTGCTGAATGGCCTGAGCAGAGGCTTCCATGTGCTCAGCAGGGGAGAAGAGCTGCCACAGGATTGTGGTGCGGGGCCAGGCCTGCTGGGATGATGCCAGGGACTGAGGCAACATTCCACCAGGGCAGCTGGGAGCCATGGAGGGTTCCAGTCTCTGACGCCCCTGGGCTATCAGCTCTGGCCACTGTGTCTGGGGCAGAGCAGGCACAGGGTCAGGCCCCAAGCCATCTCGCTAAGCCTGGTACTTTTTTGGCTAACCTCAACACCTGCCCTGGCCCTAAAATAGCAATGGGGAAACTCCAGCTTAGCACCTGACCCAGCCTGTCAGGCCCTGGGTGTGGGGCGGTGGGACGGCAGAGGTCCCAGGAGGCCTTGTGCCTACAGCAGGCCCACTCTACCCCTGAGCACCCACTGTCACCCCCACCTGCCCAGGGAGCCCCCGGGCAAGGTGTGAAGATGCAGACCACGAACTCCCAGAATGGGCCCCCTGGGCAGGGGCCATGGAAGCTCCTGACCCATACATGTGGCCAGTGGGGGTCAAGGAGGGCTTCCCAGAGGAAGAGCCAGGTCCACTGGGCCTGGAATTTAGAGTGGAAGTATCAGGGAGGGTAGCCGACAGGCCTAACACAGGGTGGGGGCTGTGGACCACTTCACGGCAGCAGCACCTTCCTTCTCCCAAGGGCCCTGCAGGCTGGGCACTGTTGTCATATCTCACAGGCCAAGGAGAAAGACACAGACAGGTCGAGTGGCTTGTCCATGGCTACATGGCTGGTAAGAGGCACTGGGATTGCAGCCCAGGGAAGTAGGCCCAGCTGTGCCAACCAGGAGGGGCAGTGGGGGAGCCTGTGAGAGTAGCTATGAGGCTGGGGGAGCCAGCCATGCAAGCTTTTGGGGAATCCCTGCCCTTCTCTGGCCTTAGTTTCCACATCAGTAAAGTAGGGAACTATGCAAGGTGGCCACAGGGGTGGGACGCCGGCGTGGTGGAGAGCTGGGTTCTACAGGCATCAGGAAATGCTTGCTTCTCCCCCACCCTGTCCTTAAAGTTGCCTGAGGACCAGCCCTACCTTCCCCTGAAGGGGGCAGGGCTGGCCTCCTCCACAGGCCCTGTTGTGACACCCTTTGACGGTGACAGCCACCCACACACTGACACCTCCTGTGGGGTTTTGTGGTTCTTTAGAGACACCTGGGCCTTCAGGAAATACCCCCTCGGGCCCACATCCCCGTCTCCTGCAGCACTGTGCCCACACCTGCTGGGGCTTCTGGGTGGAGGAGCCCCCTTCCTGGTCCCCAAGCTCTGGCCTCCATGTCCCAGCTCCAGCCTGGAGGCATCTGTCCAGGACTCCCAAACTCCAGAGACCCAGGCCGAACTCTCCAGATAGTTGCCTTGAGCCCCACACTCAGCAACCACCTTTGCCCCCTCTGGGGAAACCTGCTGTGGGATGGGCCCAGGGTCTCCACCAGTTTGGGGCAGCAGTGGGCTGGAACCCCTCTTCCTGGGGTGTGGGCTCCTGTGACGCAGTGCCTGAGACACGATGTGAGGACAGGACTTTATTTCAGAGTGGGAAGTGGGCCGGGGATGAGCCTTAGGGCTGTGTCACTGACCCGGCTGCTGTCAGTAACGCCTGGTGCCCTGTGCAGCTGGGGGAGCCTGGGGGTGGGGACAGCACAGGTGCCCTGGAGCGCTCCACCAGGGGCAGGGAGCTGGGTGTTTATCCCTGCTCCCCTCAGTTATCACTGGAGGATATTCTGGGGGCTCAGCTCGACCTGCACACAGGCCAAGTATGGTGGTCGCCAGAAAAGAGACCTTGGGCAGAATCTCGAGGGTTTGCATTCAGCAGACGGTGGCAATTGAAGTGGGAACATGGGCAGGACACTGCCAGCATCTCCTGCTGCACTGAACACCCTCTGCTCTCTGCTTCGAGGGCTCAGCAACATCCTGAGACAACAGGAAAAGTCCCACCTCACATCCGCCTCCGGTGCCAAGCTCACACTCAGGAAGCATTTGCTGAAAGAGGGAAGGGAAGTGCTACAGGGAACAGAGGCGCCAGGCCCCATGCCTGGTGGGCCCCACCATGAGACTGCACCCACTCAGGGCCTCAGTTTCCCCATCTGGACAATAAAGGGGCTAGGCTAAAGCACTGGGGCTGGGAAGTCAGCCAGAGACTACCTGGATCCTCTAGGGTAGGCGAGGCCTGAAGGGGCCAGGGGATTCCTGGAGCCATGCAGCAAGATGGGCAGCACTGGGAGAGAGGCTTGGACCCACAGGTCCTGGGGCAGAGGGATGGTGGCGGTCTTGCACAACTCTAAGCACTTACCAGACAACTTCTGAATGCCCAGTTCTGGTTGACCAGCAGGAAAAGAGACTTGCACCTGTGAAGAAGATTCCAGATGTCTCTTGGTGTCTGTGAAGTGGGTACCAGGAGAGATCCTTCCTCACCAGATCAAGGCTGCTATTGTTCTTGTCATCCATTTCTCTATTCACTTTTAAGAACCTACTGTCTAAAACAGAAAAGCTCAGCTGGAGTTGGCTGGTTGAGGTTTACTGAGGTTTGATTCTTCTGCTTTCATGAGGGTATCTGTTTGCCTGGTGTGAGAAAGGGTTGGGCTCCGGAGCAGAATGCTAGGATGGGGCCCCAGCTCCCGCTGGCCACCGTGCATGACCTTGGGCTCTGCACTTTACCTCTGTGCCTCAGGTCCCTCCCCTGTGAAATGGGTACAAGCACATCTCATGCTTCTTGGGACTGCTGTGAGGATCAGCGATGTGGAGCACCTGGTGCATGGGGAGGAGGGCAGCCCAGCCTCCTGCTGCCTTCACCTGGCCCCTCTCTCTGCAGGTGGTACTCAGGCAGGATTTCCCGGCAGCTGGCAGAAGAGATTCTGATGAAGCGGAACCACCTGGGAGCCTTCCTGATCCGGGAGAGTGAGAGCTCCCCAGGGGAGTTCTCTGTGTCCGTGAAGTGAGTGCTGCCCCTGAGGTGTGCAGAGGTGGGTGGGTAGGGAGACAGCATCTGAGCCGAGCCTTGAGGCACAGGACAGGCCCCGGAGGGAGGGAGAGAACAGCATCCCTGAGGAGGAGCAGCCCCTATAGACACCTGGAGGCAGGTGGCTGTCGGGGTCAGAACGGCATGCCCACAGGAGGTGGCAGAGGGCAATGACGATGTGCGCAGAGAGCAGGCCTGGACCCACTCAAGGCCTCGAGTGCCAGGCTGAGGGGTCTGGATGTTATTTTGCGAGCAATAAGGAGCATCAGAGATTCATCATCAGGGGAGGTAGAGGGATACCAGCGGAGGACATGATGGGAATGGCCAGGGGTGGGAAAGCCCCAGGGCACCCAGGGCAGGTGCTCACGATGTGATCTGCACTGGGTCTCACTAAGTGGTGACAGAGTTGAGAGGATGGACCCTGGAGCCTGGCAACCTGGGATCAGATTCTGGCTCTGACACTCCCTGGCTGTGTGACCTTGGGCAAGTCACTTAACCTCTCTGTGTCTGTTTCCTCAAATGGAGGGTATTGAGCAGAGTGAAAGGTGATTGCCTCCTACGTTTTAGCTGATCCTCTGGCCACTGTGAGAAGGATGGGTGGTTGGGAGTAAGTGGGAGCGCTGGGAGACCAGTGAGGAGCCAGGTGGAGCGGCCGGCGCTGGGCTGTGGTGGGTGCTGGGTGGCGGGAAGTGGCTGCATCGGGCGGGTGGGGTGGATTCGTGAGGGGGGCCGCAGCAGTACCATCAGGGCTGTCATGGGCACAGGGCACAGCCACACGGTGGAGACGCCCCCGTGTCCGCTCCTGCCATCACCAAGAGTGGTGTTCTGGCGGCAAAGCTGCCAGCTGGAAGGAAGGGTGAGTGGTGGGCCAGAGCTGGTGGCACTGCCCCTGGGCGGAGGAGGCTGCTCAGTGTGTGGTGCAGCTCCACCAGTGGGGTCAGGGGCCCCAGTGGAGCCGAGAAGGGACTTGGACAGGGAGGGTTCGTGGTGCCCTTGGCAACTCAGAGCATCCCATGTCAGTGTCCATGTTTGCAGAAGGGCATCCCATGTCAGCATCCTCCAGGCCCGCCGGGGCACTGAGGTGAGCTCTGGCCTGTGCCATGCTCACCATCCGTTTCTGTAATGCACTCAGGGTGCTGTGCCCTGCGGGGGGTGATCTCCTATCTGGGCCTGGAGGCACCCGCATGGGGAGGCCCACTATGCTCAGGAAGACTGCTGGGAAAGGAGGTAAAAATGACCCAACATCAAGAGGGTCAGAGCCCTCACCTTGGCCCCCTCCAAGCTAGGTAACCAGCCGTTGCTCTTTTACCTCCTTTTCCCACTGGGAACGGGCTGGTTATCCAAGGGACAGGAATGGCTCTTGCCCTCCTTGAGCCTCTATTTCACCATCTTAAGAGTGGGAGCACTGTCTGTGTGTGGGGGGTACTGAGCTCCTGGCCCTGAAGCACCCAGGATGGTCGTGGACACCTGGAGTGCACCCTGGCTCCCCTCCCTACCTCCACAGCCCAGCTCCCACCTCCCACTGGGTTCCCTGCAGAAAGGAAGTGGCGGTTTCCCACGTGCTGGTGTCCAGGGACCTGGTCACCTTCTGGGAATGGCACCTGTCAGGCGGCCTCTCTGGCTTCAAATGGCTGCTGGAATCAGCTCCAAAGCCCAAGGCCACCCAGTACAGTAGGGGCATGGGGAATCACCGGGAGCTCCTGGAACATGAGCTGAGGGGAGGTGGTGGCACCCATCTCTCCCTCTCCTACTAATAAATCCCACGGCCTGAACCTCCACCCTGGACGCCTCAGTGCACTGCCCTCTTTTGTAAATGCAGCCCCGCTGTGTGGGTGCACAGATTCAGACCCAAACATCTCAGCCTACTGTGGTGTGACTCACAGGCAGGACAGGGAGAGGAGTCAAACCCAGGGCGTGTGCTAGGGAAGGTGACATGGCCCAGGGGTCTCCATGATGAATGAACACGGAGGATTTAATGACAGCAGGCACTTCCCACATGGTGAAGGAAGGGACATCTGAGCTGGGCCCTGGTGCATGAGAGGGAGTCTGGTGCACAAAGTGGGGAGAGGGTGTGGCAGGCACAGGGAAGGATGTGTGCAAAGGCCTGTAAGTGGGACAGACAGGGTTTGGATGACAAGTTCATCTGACCAGCAAAGGAGATGGGCAGTACTAGGGGGCAGTTCTTGGGCAGGGGAGCCAGGACCAGTGCGATCCTGGGAAGGGGTCTGAGAAAGCCCCCCGAAGTCAGATCCAGCAGGAGCTCCTCCCGCTCTGCTGGCTGTGGTTCATGCACAGCACCACCAAGTGGCGCCCTCACCCTTGCTCTTGTCCCAGCTGAGCCGGGGCCCCTAAATCCTCTCCCACTCTTGGTTCATTGAGGGCCTTTCTGTGACCCTTGGAGGACCACCAAGCAGTGACCAGAGTAGGAAGCAGACTCAGAGGGTGTATATGCTAGGAGAGTGGGCTCTTGAGCAAGAATATCATCTCTGACACTTCCGAGCTGTATACCCTCGGCAAGTACTCCTCTGAGCCTCATTTCTTCATCTGTAAAATGAACATTGATGTGAAGTGCTGGAAGAAGCCAGTTATAGTAATTATCACTCTATTGACCTTCCAAGGGCCCCACAGTGCTTCTCAGCCCCCCTGCCTCATGGATGCAGGCGATTAGAGCAGAGATGGTGGCAGGGGAGGTGGGGAACCAAGTTCTGGTCCTGGCTGTGCTCTGAACCTGCTGGGTAACCTCAGGCAGATCCTGAGGTTGTCGTGTCCTCATCTGCAATGTGCAGGCAGAAACCACAGATGTTATGATGTCCAGGGACCCAGCAGCCAGCTGCACAGATCTGTGTGTGAGAGCATTTCCTCCCTTACTGGTTTGGCTCTTGGGGACTCTGACCCCACTACGCGTGGCATCTCCTACATGCTCATGCCAAGCCCCATAAAGCTGTGAGAAGTGGGGTTTATGGGCCTCATGCTGCTTCACGGAGCAATAGTGGCCACAGCCAGCCGCCCCTTTACGAGTTTACAAAGGCTGTCCCCTTCCACCTGCAGGAGCTCTTCTGAGTAGGCAGCCAGCAGGCCAGGGGCCAAGGTTGGAGCACAATGCCTGGGCTGTGTAACTTTTGCCCCACTCTCCAGCCCAGGCTGCTGGAGACTCCCCTCTGTTACAGTTTGTTCTCAAGTGAGGTGTGTTGCTTCCTTTCAGGACAGAAGTGCCCTGGAGTTGATGTACGTGTGTCTGCTCTGCCCCTTTGGCCACTGAGCACCTACTATGCACCAAGCCTCATTCCAGGTGCCTGGGATTCAGCCAAGAACAAAATAAGACAAAGTTCTCTGTCCTTTAGGCACTCAATGTTTTACTGGGGTGACAAACAATTAGTAAATTATATAAAAATTTGGGAGATGATAAAGGCTCTTGGGAAAACAAAGCAGGAAAGAAGTGGCAGGATGCAGTATTTTGCATGCAAAGACAGGAAGTGATCCCCAGAAGCCCAGTCTGCAGGTAAGGAAACAAGCTCAGAGAGGTACAGTAACTTGCCCAAGGTCTCATAGCAAGGAACAGCAGAGCTGGTACTCATTGACCCTCTGTGCCCTGACAGACCGGGTCTTCCATTCTTCCAAGCCCTCCCTGAGATGCAAAGGCCCTGTGGGAGTCTGTCCCCACTGGCACCCCCAGGTCAGTTTGATCCTATTCATGTCTGCAGCAGTACAGGTATTGCATCCCTCCCTTGCCACAGATGGGAATGCTGAGGCTCAAGGAGGGCTGTGCCTAGTGGCAGTTAGCACCCAGTCCTCTGCCCGGGCGTCACTGTCCCTGGCTGGGCCAGTCTTGCAGCCCCAGCCCTACCCAGTCTTGTCACCTTTGCTGCCGCCATCCAGCCAGAGAAACCTGTTGGGCAGGCCTGTCTGCTGCTAGCATCAGGCCCAACTTGGCCCTGGGGGCCTTCCTGACAGCCCAGGGGCCAGGCCCAGCCCCCTAACCCCCTAAGTAAGGGGGTGTGGGGTCACACACAGAAACCACCACCACAAAAAAAGGTGTACCCACAGTCACTCCCAGAGCAGCAAGAGACACACATGCATGCTCCCAGTCACAGTGGAGACAGACACCTGACATGTGCATGCTGCAACACCTGCACACACAGCCTGGGCACTTCCCACTGTTGTGGACCAAGCAGGTGCCAGGACCAGGCTCAGACACCCTCTGGGCTGCCCTTCCCTCCTCCAGCTCAGGATGGCTTCACCCAGCAGAGCTGTGTACATCCAAGCCTTCCCTCCCAGTTCAGGGGTTATTTGGATCCAGACTTGGTTTCCCCTATGTGCCCTGCAGCTCCCCTGGGCCTGAGGGTGGGGGTTGAGGTCTGGAGAGTCCACAGAGGGCAACCCACAGTCTAAGGGGTTCTCAGATGGCACAAGGCTCCACCTGGGCCTTGAAGGTTAAGGCAGGCTAAGGTTAAGGTGGAGGAAAGGGAAAAGGCATTCCTGGTGGGAATCATGGGCAAGGGCCTGGGAGGCTGGGAGACAGGCTGGCTGGGAGAGAGAAAGAGGGCAAGGGGAGGGAGAGACTGCTCCAGGTGCTGAGTCCTTGAGGTCCTCAGACAGAGATGGCCCTGCCTGGCCTCCATAGGTACGGTTAATGATCAGGCCAGGGACTGGTGTGGCAGGAGGGGCCACATGTGGGTCACACACAGCAGCAGCCTCACCAAAACGGCTGCTCCTGCCTGTGGGCAGGCTCCCCTCTGGGCCCTGCTCTCCTCACTGTAGAACAGGAAGTTTGAACCAGATGGAAGACAACAAAACCTGCCATCTTGCTGAGCACCTACCATGTGCCCCACATAGGCCAGCGACTGGGACATGCAAGCTTCCCGGATGTGAGAATTCTCCAAATCTCAGGCTGGGAGGTTCTAGGATTCCTGGGTCCCTTGTCCCTTTCTCATCTCATCTCATCTGTTTTCCACTCTCTGACCCTCTGATATGATGAGGGAATACTTTATTCTGGATAACTTTCCAGGTAACTAAAGATAAACTTCAAGTATCAAAATGTTCAAAGTTGTGGCCTTGGGGTTTGATATCTTTTTCTAACCTGCCACAGCCTTGGGAGGATTTGGTGGCAGTGGGTGAGAAGGCTGAGCAAAGTCTGGGAACTGAGGAGGGAAGGGGCTCGTTGCACCAGAGAGTGTCTGAAGGAAGTGAGGCTGGGCGCATGATCAGAGCCAGCTCTCCAGTCTGCAGGGCAGTGGGGGACCATGGAAGCTCCTGGAGGTGGGGCTTGGGGGCGACCTGAGCACCCAGCACACCTGTGCTCACACCAGCAGGCTTGGGTCTGAGTCGGGACTGGGAGGGCTGGGAGGGGACAGGGAATGGAGGAGAATGTCCAGGCCCAGGAGGGCCAAAGAGGCGTGAGAGGAGGCTGTCCGATCACCACTCTCGGAGGAGCCCATCTAACGCTGCTAGGTAACCACAGTCAGCAGTTCCTCAGCACTTATCCAGAAGGGAGGTGTTATCATTACCAGGAAATTGAGGTCCAGAGAGCTTAAGTGATTTGCCTAAGTTGCACAGCAAGAAAGGGGCCTTGCCCAGTGCCCACCCCCTCAACTCCACACTCCATTGGGAGGCTCTGGGGGGACTCTCCAGGTCTTGTATGGAGTGGGGTCTTGCGGCCTGGTACCCGCCCTCTCATACTGTCCTTCTGTCTCAGCAGGGGAGAGCAAGGCCTGGCTGCAGGTGGGGCTGGGCTGGGCGGGGCGGGGCGGGAGGGCTGGCTGGCTGAGGTGGCCCTGGGTCCTCTCCCCAGCTATGGGGACCAGGTGCAACACTTCAAGGTGCTGCGTGAGGCCTCCGGAAAGTACTTCCTGTGGGAGGAAAAGTTCAACTCCCTCAATGAGCTGGTTGACTTCTACCACACCACCACCATTGCCAAGAAGAGGCAGATCTTCCTGCGGGATGAGGAGCCTCTGCTCAAGGTAGGCAGGTGGGTGGGCCAGTGGGCCTCCCTGCCTCCTGCCATCTGTAGAGGCTGGGATACCTGATGGGGGCAGGCCCTGCCTGGCCTCCCCAACCTCTCCAGCAGCCCATGTGTCAGGAGGAGGGGTCCAGCACAGGCTCTAGAGTTCTACTTTGGTGGTGCTGCATTGAGACAAGGAAGGGTAGGAAAGGAGAAGAGGGTAAGAAAAGGAAGGATCAGAAGAAATTCCGTGGGAAAAACTGTGTCTGGCTTGTCCTCAGCTCTTAGAGCAGTACACAGCACAGAGTAGGTGCTCAATAAATGTTTGTTCACTGAATGAATTAGCCTACCATGTGCCACATACTGACTGGGCTCTGTATGCTGGGTGCCACATCATCCTTATTGTACAGGATAGGAACCTGAGGCTCAGAGAGTGAGGTGACCACCTGCCAGGTAGGTGCAGTCCTGGTTTCTGCTCCCCAGGAGCTGGGCTTGCTGGAGGTTGGGGGGTGTTAGTGTATTTGGGGGCAGGGTCCCAGTGGGCACAGGGTGAGAGGGGTTATACTGCCCCTCCACCTCACAATAACAGCAGTTTGCCAGCCAGCCCTTTCATCAAGGGGCCCCGAGGACCAGCCGTGGCTCTCATTAGGATGACGACACCAGCCAGCAGGGCTATGAGCCCTGACAGGCTGTTTTCCTTGGGAGGGGGTGTCAGCAAGGCCTGGGGCTGGACAACAGGAGCCTGGGGCAGCTCAGCTGAACCTGGGCTCTGCAGAGGATCTGGGGAGCATGGTCATTGCCGAGACCTGGGGAGGGACCAACAGGCTGCCACAGAGAACTCCCCATTCCTGTTCTAGTCCTGCCCTCTTCCTAGACCCCCACCTCCTTGCTATGTGTGACCTTTGGGTCAGTTCATCCCTCAACTGGGCCTCAGTTTCCCTTCTGGCCAACAGGATGAGCCCTGGAGTCTGATATGCCAGGAGAATCAAACAGTGCCTCGGGAGACCCCACTAATGCACCCTCTGTCCCACCAGTATGCCTGGCCTCCTCAGCCTGACCGTAGGGACCTCAGACTGTGAGCTCTCAGTCTTAGGGACTCTTCTCCGCTACTGGTCTCTGTCTCCTGGACCTCCACTCCCTCTCCATTGCTGCCTAGGCCAAAATCTGCCCTTGGAGGTGTGAGGGAGCTAGGATGGAGCTGGGCGGCCACCTGGGGGCTCCCTCACACCCACTGCCTTGCTCCGGCCTGGGCCTGGGATCACCACCCAGTGGGGCAACTCCAGGGCTGGTCTCCCTCAATGAGCTGGTTGACTTCTACCACACCACCACCATTGCCAAGAAGAGGCAGATCTTCCTGCGGGATGAGGAGCCTCTGCTCAAGGTAGGCAGGTGGGTGGGCCAGTGGGCCTCCCTGCCTCCTGCCATCTGTAGAGGCTGGGATACCTGATGGGGGCAGGCCCTGCCTGGCCTCCCCAACCTCTCCAGCAGCCCATGTGTCAGGAGGAGGGGTCCAGCACAGGCTCTAGAGTTCTACTTTGGTGGTGCTGCATTGAGACAAGGAAGGGTAGGAAAGGAGAAGAGGGTAAGAAAAGGAAGGATCAGAAGAAATTCCGTGGGAAAAACTGTGTCTGGCTTGTCCTCAGCTCTTAGAGCAGTACACAGCACAGAGTAGGTGCTCAATAAATGTTTGTTCACTGAATGAATTAGCCTACCATGTGCCACATACTGACTGGGCTCTGTATGCTGGGTGCCACATCATCCTTATTGTACAGGATAGGAACCTGAGGCTCAGAGAGTGAGGTGACCACCTGCCAGGTAGGTGCAGTCCTGGTTTCTGCTCCCCAGGAGCTGGGCTTGCTGGAGGTTGGGGGGTGTTAGTGTATTTGGGGGCAGGGTCCCAGTGGGCACAGGGTGAGAGGGGTTATACTGCCCCTCCACCTCACAATAACAGCAGTTTGCCAGCCAGCCCTTTCATCAAGGGGCCCCGAGGACCAGCCGTGGCTCTCATTAGGATGACGACACCAGCCAGCAGGGCTATGAGCCCTGACAGGCTGTTTTCCTTGGGAGGGGGTGTCAGCAAGGCCTGGGGCTGGACAACAGGAGCCTGGGGCAGCTCAGCTGAACCTGGGCTCTGCAGAGGATCTGGGGAGCATGGTCATTGCCGAGACCTGGGGAGGGACCAACAGGCTGCCACAGAGAACTCCCCATTCCTGTTCTAGTCCTGCCCTCTTCCTAGACCCCCACCTCCTTGCTATGTGTGACCTTTGGGTCAGTTCATCCCTCAACTGGGCCTCAGTTTCCCTTCTGGCCAACAGGATGAGCCCTGGAGTCTGATATGCCAGGAGAATCAAACAGTGCCTCGGGAGACCCCACTAATGCACCCTCTGTCCCACCAGTATGCCTGGCCTCCTCAGCCTGACCGTAGGGACCTCAGACTGTGAGCTCTCAGTCTTAGGGACTCTTCTCCGCTACTGGTCTCTGTCTCCTGGACCTCCACTCCCTCTCCATTGCTGCCTAGGCCAAAATCTGCCCTTGGAGGTGTGAGGGAGCTAGGATGGAGCTGGGCGGCCACCTGGGGGCTCCCTCACACCCACTGCCTTGCTCCGGCCTGGGCCTGGGATCACCACCCAGTGGGGCAACTCCAGGGCTGGCTATCCCCTGGAACTCAGGCGGCCGCCTCCTTCCTGGGCAGAGAACCGCTGATTACAGCCTGTTCATGGATCCTATCACCCTTCCTGGAAAAGATCCCACAGGCTCAGAGCAGAGATCCTGGCGGGACAGGGCCAGGGCACTGGGCACAGCCGTCATGGCACCAGGCTGATGCACCTGTGGAGAGCTCACATCCAGCTGCCATTCACAAGTAGGGGGACTGAGTCCCACAAAAGGTAGAGACTTGCCCAAAGTCACCAGGGGCATAGACAGGATTGGAACCCATGTCTGAGAGCTGGGAGCAGCTCTAAGTGATGTCCTCTCCCTTAAAGCCTGGACAAGGGTAACAGCAGTAAATTCTGCTCTTAGCTACACATCACTTTACAGTTTATAAGGCCTGTTCCTGTGGTTCCAGGACCTGGAGTGCAAAGTCATCATGGCTACTGTAGACCCAGGGAAATGAGACCCCAAGAGGGGCAGGGCCTAGCCAGAGTCGCACACTGAGGACCAGGACTCAGGTCTCTTGACCCACCAGCCCTGGGGCCCACCAGTCCCAGCTGGGCCGCCAGGACAGGCATGTTACTCTATATAGATGTAGCGTCTGTGTGGCAGACACACAGGGGGCAGGCATCAGGAGGCCCACGGGGTGGGGTGGTGGCCATCTGTCTGGAAGTGGAGGCACAAGTGAGTTTGGCCTCAGTCCTTCCCAGAATACTGCCTCCCCAACCTGTGGCAAATACTTGTCTTGTTGGGCCTGCCTCCTGGAGGGCTGCACTAACTGCTTCCTGCCCTTGCAGACACCCAGGGCCTGTTTTGCCCAGGCCCAGTTTGACTTCTCAGCCCAGGACCCATCGCAGCTCAGCTTCCACCGTGGCGACATCATTGAGGTCCTGGAACGCCTGGACCCTCACTGGTGGCGGGGCCGCTTCTGTGGGCGTGTTGGCCTCTTCCCTCAGAGCTACGTCCAGCCAGTGCACCTGTGACCGGAGTGGGGTCCTTGGGGCAGAGCCGGCAGACCAGCTGTCCACCCAACTCTGAGGTCCAGAGAAAGGACAGGGGCACCCTCTTCGTGGGTCCCACAAAGCTCAGTGGAGGGCCTTGGACTGGAACGTGGGCCTCCCAACTGCCAGGCCCAGACTCCTGCCACTTCACACAAACTGGGAGAGGCCCCCAGCACCCCGAACACCGAACAGCGGTGTTCAGTGCCCCCAGGCAAGGGAGCTCCCCAGGCTTCCCTTGATCTCCTCCCATTGGCCACCAGCTGTGTGATGTCAGAGGTGGGGCAGAGGCTCCGCCCACTCCAATCTCAGGGTGGTTCAAGACTCCTAGGTTCCTGCAGTTGGAGGCTCAACCCAGGGGTCGGTGGGCTTGGTGGGCGGGTTCACCACCTGCAGGCCTACCTGCCTGCCCTCTAAGAGGCCCCTCAAGGGGTTCTGGCTGTTGAGGAGGTGGCCTAGCTATGAGGGACAGGCAAGGGGCTGTGCGCCTATTGACCTGGACTCACCGGACAGACTCCAGGTGGGGAGACTTCTGGCAGCCCCAAGGTGACTGCAGGCTCTCCCTGGGCATCTGACACCCCCGCCCCCCACAGACGCTTCGGGTAGGGGCCAGAGGCCCTGAGGAAGGGGCACACAGTGGTGAAGGACATGCAGGCAGGTGCTCCCTTCCAGTTACCTGTCCCCACCACCACTGATGGACAGCTCTGAAGGGCAGGTCCCAAGGCCAGCTGGAGGGTCAGGCCATACCTGCTCTTGCTTGTTCAAGTTCTGCCTGGACCAGGGACCCGGTGAGCTTGGGAATAGGCCATGTAGGAAGTTGGGACCAGAACTGGACTTTGAGGTCCAGCATGGGCTCCAGCTTGCAGAAAGACAGGGTGTCCACATGGAGTGTGCAAGCTGCAAGGGGTACTGGGCTGCACCTGCCCAGGGCCTGGGCACTTTGGGAACAGGAAAATCAATGGGGACTTGGAAAAGGCCTTCAGTGCCAGGCTGATAGTGGAGGGAGGAGGGAGAGGGAGCTCTTGTGGCAGCTGGGAGCAGGTGGAACAAGGTTGGGGGACAGGGCTGCAGGTCCCTGTCATGGGCACTGGGCTCTCCCTCCACCCAGGGCTGGCCTGAAACCCTTCAAGCCAAGCTGCTCTTGACTGGGCCGGTGTAGTCAAAATAAAAACAGTAAAACTAGTATAAGGATATTCTTTCCATTTATGACTACTATGCACTATTTTGAAATGTCACATTCTTTCTCCCTGCTGCCCCTGCCCCTGATTTTTCAGGGTACCTGCTTTGGGAGCTTGGTAAGTTTCTTGGCACTGACCGGCCACGCAGCTGCGAGGGGAGCCAGCCCCTCTCTGGGCCTCAGAGTCCTGATCAGGGAGGTGCCTGAGGACGCTGAGAGCTCCTGCCTTCCTGCCCAGGTGGCAGCGTCAGGCGAAATAGGCATAGAGGAAGATGTTGGCACACAAGAGGACGACGGCATTGAAACCACAGACGCGGGCCCAGAAAGCGTGCTTCTGGGGTGTTTGGCCATCATCTGGAGGAGGTGGGAGAGGGAGATGAAGGCCACAGGGCCCCTCCGCAGGGTGGGAGGGAGAGACAGAGTCCAAGATCGTACGCTACCTGCTTTGGCTCCCAGGGCCTGGTCCCGAGCCAGCGTCCACCAGGTCAGGTTCTCAATCTGCAGAAAATGGTAGTGATGGGAGTGTGGCAGGATCAAGGTGGACCCACACAGGGTTGGGGTCAGTGACAGAAGGCAGCTGAATTCAAAAAGGGACAGAGGCCAAGGCCAGACAGAGTTTGGGGTCAAGGGCTAGAAAATTCTCCAGTCAGGGGTCAGAATGGGACCAGAGTCAGGAATTATTAAGGGTCAGGGATAGAAGTGGGGTTTGGGGGCAAGGGTGGGCTCACCTGAACAGTCTGCGGGGGTGACGTCAGCAGGCTCCCAGCCACCACCACAGCCCCAGTGAGCACAAAGAGGGCGATGGCAAAGTTTAGGTAGTGAATGCCTCCAAGAATGGCAGGCCGCATGTCTGGCTCACCACAGAGCGGGGCCGGGTGCAGGAATTCCAGGACCAACCTCGTGGCACCCATGGCCAGCCCCACCATCAGGCCCCAGAAGGCCCCCTGGGGAGGAAGATGCAGGGCAGGTGAGGCTGTGGGAGGACGGCCAAGGTCCCCAGCACACACTGGCGGCTGGGGACAATGTGAGCTACGGCTCATGTGCAGGGAGGGGGCCGAGCTGACCCCACGTCCTGTTCCTGCCCAGCTCTCCCCACCCCCCCACCTTCTCGTTGGCACGCTGCCAGAAGACGCCCAGGACAAAGATGGCGGTCACTGGCGGGGCCAGGGAGCTGGTCACCGACTGCATGTAGATGAAGAGCTGCCCACTGCTGGAGCCCTGCAGGACGGGGATCCAGGCCACACTCACGCCGACGAGCACCACGATGACCAGCCTGCATGCAGGCACCCAGCGGCTCATCCCTCGAGGCCCTTCCTCCCTCTCCCACCTCCCCCGCCATCACTAAGGCTTGATGTCCATCCATCCCCTGCTGCCACAGTTCCAGCCTTCTCCCTGGCCTCTGGTCCACTCCTCCAGGCTGCATGCAGCCAGTCCTGCCCTGCTCCAGACCCTTCTGTGGCTCCCTGCAGCCTGCAGGTACAATCCCCTGAGTCAGCCCATCTGCTCCTCCTTGTCCCTGGGGTCTCCACTGAGGCAGCCCTTGGATATGCCCCCCAGGGTCTCCTGCTTGTCTTCAGGGCACCTGGCCCAGACTCAAGTATATTTGGATGTTTACCTGCTTACTGTCCATCTCCCCACAACAGCTGGGAGCACCAGGAGGACAGGAGCCTCATCTATTTAGTTCACTGCTGCACCCCCTGGCACACAGTAGGTGCTCAGTAAACATTTGGTAACTGTGTGAATGACCTGCCACCCTCTAATTTGGGACAGACTGATCTTCTGGCCCTTCTTCTAACACTGGTGGGCCTTTATAGGAGCTGTGGCCTCTAGCTGGTGCAGTCCCCAACCATCGACTCACATCCATCACAGGGCAACCTCCATCCAAAAGTGCGTGACTTGGGGCCAGGAGGTCTGGGTTTGGGTCAGGACCTGGACTCCTCAGCTGTGGAGCCTGAGACCTCAGACCAGTGTGAACCCTCTGGGCATGGCCTGCCACCACAGGGATGTCATTTACTCATTCATTCAACAAACCACTCATTAGGAGCCCACCTGAGAGCTATAAGCCCAGACTTGGGGATAAGTGGGCCTGGTCCCTGCCAGCACTCAGAGTTGAACAAGCAAAGCAAATGAGCCTGTTACCCTGTGCTCAGGGCTGTGTAGAGGGAATCCAGAGGAAGCATTAATCTAGGAGACTTTCCCGGGGGAGGGGCCACGGAGACTTAAAGAGGTGTGGGGCCAGCTAAGGGGACAAAGCCGGGGTGAGGAGGCCTATCTGCTCCTCCCTGGCTGAGCACACCTCACCGGTGTCTTGGGTCAGATGGGCAACCGCACTCCCGAGGTGGGTGGTTGGAGAGACGCTCTGGGACACTGGACAGGGCAGCAGGGCTGACAGGGCTGTGTGTGCAGCTGGGGTGGGTCCTCCTTACTGCCTGCCTGCCTGCCTGCCTTGCTGCCCTTCCAGGCCTAAGGGAGAGGGTGGAGGAAGGAGGTGCCACCTTGATTAAGGCTAATTAACCCTTAGGCTGGCAGGTGGGCGGGCACTGCCCTCTTCAAAAGCAAAGGTGGGCTCCATTAACATCCATCCCACTCCACCCTCCTCACGCAGGTTATCACTTCAAACCCCAGACTCAGCATCTCTGTGCAGGGCCGGGGCTGGGAACCTCACCTTCTTACTGCCCTCTGGGGTTTCCTCTTCCAACCCAGCTGCCACCAGGCTGCCCCCAGAGGAACCTCAAATCCAGAGACTGCTCCTCCTGCCTGGAATGCCAGCCTCCACCTCCTGCCCCACTACCCCCTCCATCTTCCAAGGCCCAGCGCCAGGCCCTCCTCCCACAGGAAGCCTTCCCAATGCCCCCCTCAAAATACACACATGTACTGCTGGCGGGATGATTGTCCCCCCATTGCTCCTGGGTGGCAACTGTGGTTGAAAGAGAGCCCCTTAAGGACCATGGGGACTTCTGAGATCTCTTTGGGTCCCTCATATTCTCCACCTTGATGCAGGGAACCAGGGAGGACTCTGGCACTCTTTGTGGACTGAGTAGAGAATGGACAGAAGGGCCTGGCAGGGGAGGGAAATGAAGAACCAGGGGGTGGGGCCTAAGGCTGGCAAAGATCAGGGACCTAGATACGGGGTCATCACTGCCGCCAGGCCTATGGTGGCTCCTCTGGCCCCAGCCCGACCTGATAAACTGCTGGGGTCACTGGCATGACCCTGCCTGTCTCAGCCCCACAGTGACCTCGTCCCCAGGTTTCTGGGCATGCTCTGCTGTCCTCTCTGTAAGTCCCATATGTCTTCAATTCAGAGCTCCAGAGACCCAGGACTCCACACAGCCTAGGAAATACAGCTTAAACGATGTTGCTGGGGGCAAGAGGAGGCTGGAGGTGTTAGGGACGCCCCAGTGCTTCAATGAGGAGGCAAGGCAGAGATGAACCCTGACCTTACACCCAGCACTGAGCCCTTTCCACACCGCCAGACTGACAGCTGAGAGAACTGGGACCAGAGAAAGTGAGCAACATGCCCCACATCCCCCAGCCTTGTGCCCACGGTCTGGCTGGCAGGGCTGGGGGTTTGGGGCTTGACTTGGTGGAAGAAGTGGGAAGGAGGACCACGGGTGCCATGCTGGGGGTAAGCTGGCACAGAGGAGAGACCAGGTCAGGAAGGAGCAGGAGAGAAGCCTGCTTCTGTGCAGGCAGAGAAGTAGTGGGCAGGGGACATGGAGGCCACCAGGCAGGCACTGAGGCTGCCGGTGTCCCAGGCCAGGGGTCCGAGGCACATGCTGGCAGCAGGAGGGCATTCAGGTCCTGGGTCCCATGGAGGAGCTAGGGGTCTCCATCAGACAGGGGCTGGCTCCCCGGGGCCACAAGGCTGCGGAGGAGGGACAGGGGAGCCACCTGGTGGGGAGAGGTGGTCGAGGGGCCAGGACATGCTGACACAGAAGCACCCTGCCAGGTGGGAGGGAGGGGCTCCTTGTTTTGCAGGAGGCTGTGAGCCTGAGGATGAGCTCACACCGCCTGCTGTCGGGCATGTCCCAACAGCGCCCTTCTAGCAGGAGCCCAGCAGTTGTGCATCACTGGGACAACTGCCTGGTGCCCCGGGAAAGACGCCCCCCTGAGGACAGGCACCATGGGCTCCCTGCAGGCGGGTGGGGCACTGTTGGCCAAGCTAAGCTCCATAGGGCTGGGCTCCTCAACCAGCAGAGTCACCCCATGGCTGGGTGGGACCTGGGAAAGGGCCTGAGCAGACAGACACAGGCACACACTTGGAGACACCAACTCCTTGCCGTCCATTGCTGAGTTCACCCCTGGGTGCTTGAGTTCACCCCTGGGTGCTTGTCCGAGTATAGGGGTGGAGGGCTGGGCAAGACAGCTCCCCATGAGGAGAGGCACAGGAGCCACACTGGACCCGTGAGGGCAATAGTCTGACTTACAGCCCCCTACAGGAGGTCCAGAAAGCAGAGAGGCTCATTCTTTACTTAGGGGTGCCAGGCTGCACGGAGGAGGGCACACGAGCAGAGTCTGCAGTGACCAGGATGAGTCATGGAGGCAGTAAGGAGGGGACAAGTGGGCCAGGAGGAAATGGGCAGACGCTCCGTGGGGCTGAATGTGGCCACCCAGTCCTGGCTCTGGGCGCTCTCTGGGGCAGCTGGGAACCATCAAGACCGCTAAGGGCTCAGATGGGGGGAAGGCGGAGCTCTCTGGGCCAGCTGCGGGAGGAGGCCCTCCCCAGCAGAGATGCCCTTGGAGATTCAGCTCAGGGTAAGAGACATATCCACGATAAGGGCTGTGCCTGTGCGGGGGTGGCCCGGAGAGCAGCGACGGAGGTGGGACAGACAGGGCGTTCTCTCCTCTCCTCCCGGGCATCCTCCTTTCTCCAACTGGAAAACTCCTTCTTACCCCTCAAAGCCCACCTCTGCTGGGGCCTTGGGGGCGGGTCCTGGGGCCGGGGCAGCCACAGCCCGGCCCTCCCCGTCGCCCAGGCCCCCTACCGGCCCACCAGCAGCAGCTCCCGCTCCCCTGCGCGGGGCCGCAGCCGCTTCCAGATGTCCATGGTGAAGAGCGTGCTGCTGCTGTTGAAGATGGAGGTCAGCGACGACATGAGGGCGGCCATCATCACTGCGATCATCAGCCCCCGCAGACCTGGGGGCGGGGGCCACCGTGACCCTCCTGCCGGCGCCAGCAGCCTCCGCCGGTCACCTAACCTTGAGAGCAGGGTTGGGGGTGGGGGAGTGGGCCGTGGCAAGGAGGCTGGCGGCAGGAGGAGCCAGGAGGAACTGGGGGGCCCCTGAATCGCCGCTCTGGCCTGCATCCTGCTGGCAATGGCCGTCACAACTGTTCCTGCTCCTATTGTTGGTGGTGCTGCTATCAGCCTTCTCATTTCTACAGAGCCTGGCCGCTGACAAAGTGCTTTCACACCCATAACTTCATTCACAGAAGGGTTGTTAACCGGTTTGACAGATGAGGAAGTGGGAGCTCAGAGAGGGCAAGAGAGACGCCCAAGGACTCACAGCACGCCAAAGGCAGAACTCTTGGCCGGGGCAGTGGAGGTGGGGGGCCTCTGCTTGGAGGTCACAAGCAGGGCAGGTGCAGTGGGCCAGTGCCTGGGGTGTCCTGACACTTCCTGTGTGTGGCAGGCCCCAGCAGGCACAGGGGGTCCCCCTTCTTGTGGCCTGTGGAAAACGAGATGTGGTTCCCCAGCGAGGAGAGAAAAATCCACCCCATGATTGGCTGAAAACAAGTGGAGGGCCCGCACTGAGGTGGGCTAGGCACTGCTTTGCAAGGCCTTCTGGGAGTCATGGTCTGGAGGGGGCCTGGGGTGTGGGGACCCCCAAGAGGCAGAAGGATTCTCAACTTGCAGCATAATGCTGTATGGGCTCAGGCTGGTTGCCTCCCCTCTCTGGGCCTTGGTCTGTCACCGAGGACTCTCCTGCTCTTTCTTCGAGAGCCTGAGCACCGCCCCTGCCAGTGCAGCTCCCTGCGGCCTGCCCTCTGCCCCGCCTCCCCCGAGGGCTCGCCTCACATGTGGCATTTGTTGCCCGGCTGGGGTGCTGGGCCCTGGTTCTGTGTCTGGCCTGCTGTGACTTCCAGGCAGCCTGTGCTCTCTGTTCACTTACCAGGCTGACTGGGATGGGACCCAGAGGAAAGTGAGTCAGTCAGTTTTCCCCAGAACATTTCTCTACCCTCCTCTTCATGAAGGAGGGAATAAACTCGGGGGCTTATTCAACACCCATTTCCCCGATGGGAGCTCAAGGCCTAGAGAGGGGCTATGGCTCAGCAGCAGCTGGGTGGCAACACTGGGGGGCTTAGTGAGACCCCCCAGAACAGAGGGGAAGGCGAGGCCCAGAGCTAGGAACCCACAGTGAGGCCAAGCCTGTGCTAGGCAGTTTCCCTGCGTTATTACATTTAATCCTAGCAACAACGCTGAGGGGTGGGTAGGTGTCATTATGCCCAATTTACAAATGAGGACAGCGAAGCTCCCAGCAGGGAAGTCACATGTCCCAAATATCTCGGCCAGCAAGTGGTAGAGCCAAGATCTGATCCCTGGTCTGTGCACTCACATTCCCTGGGCCTTGGCATCCCTGGAGGGAGGGAAAGCAGGGTGGGGCCAGGAAGGGAGGGAGGCGGACACTCCAGAGTCTGAGACTCTGGAGCTGGAAACAGGCTGTAGAGGCCTCAGAAAGCGGCCTCCTCTTAGGTGAGGGACCTACACATCCCTGGCCATGTTGCTTCTGCTTGCACACCTCCTGTGACAGGGACCTCATCACCCCACATGGGACTGGCGGGGCTGCTGGCGCCAGGAGAAACACAGGTGCGGCTGAAACCTGCCCCATAGTTGCACCTGCTGGGGGAGCAGGTGGTGTGGGCTCCGGGGCTTGAGCTCCTGATCCTGTCAGAGCAGGCAGTGGGCTTGGGGCCCACCAGACCGTGTGTCACAGGCTCTCTAGCCACAAATAAGTCACTATCCCCTCTCTGTGTCTCGGTTTCCCTATCAATAAAATGAGCTATAAGTCTATCGTCTAGCCTTTGATGGGAAGCAGTTTATGAAAGGGTCTGGCCTGAAAGGAGGTGAGAGTGACAACCTTTCTCAAGGGATGGGACAGCACAGGTTAAGGATGAGCTCTGGAGGCAAATTACATCCAGGTTGAGACCCCAGCTTTGCAGCTCACTTGCTACATGACCTTGGCCAGATCTCAGTTTACCCTTCTTTAAAGTGGGGTCATAATAAGAGCACCAAGGGTTCTTGAGAAGAAGGGGCAAGTCGCTCTCATGTGGAGCCCTTGGGACAGTGCCTGGCACGTGGTTGGTGCCTTATGAGTGTTTTCTAGTATTATTACTTTTCTCTCTTCCCTTATGAGCAGATGTCACACAGCATCACCAGATCCAGAGTGGCCTCCTGGGCCCCCAGAGCCCCTCGCTCTCATAGGTCCCACCCAGGGTTCCACCCGCACCCCACCTGGGACCAACCCAGAGTCTCACCTACGGGCATCAGCTCCATGACCAGCTTGGGGTAGGCGACATTGGAGCAGCCGATCTCAGCCCCACAGGCCCGCAGACACTCAGCCGGCACCACGCAGGCCACATCATCTGGGTGAGAGGGATGCCCAGGGTGTCCCACGCTTGTCCCACCCCTCTCAACAAACGTGAGCACCTGGGGGCAACACAGGATCCCAGCCGGACCTACTCTGTCACCACCTCTCAGCAGCTGCTGCTCAGCCCTGGGCCTCAGTTTCCCAGTCAGGGTCACCAGGAGGGGGCTGGCCTCTGAGAACCATTCTGCCCCCAAGGCCCTCACTCTTCCCTGCCTGCTGTTCCCCATCACGGAGCCTCCTGCCTGTCTCCACCCCACCCCAGACTAGGCGGCTGGCCTGTGGTGAGGCCGTGCCATGGGAGCAGCCCCCTTCTATGCCTCCCTTAACCCTCGAACCCTTTCTTGGGGGCAGGAACCTTAGCACTTCTCCATGGCCGCGGTGCAGGGAAACCCCCTTGATGTTCCCCATTCTGGTGCCCCTCCATGCCCACAGCCACCCAGGGGCCATCTCTGCTGGTCCACACTCACAGCCCCCGGGGGGCTGACCAATGAAGGCAAATTCTGGTGCGCTAAGACTCCCACCCCTTAAGATCCAATCACCACCGACCAGATGGCCGTCCCCCATTAAGACCCAATCACCAACGCAGAACACACCCTACCTCTACTCCTTAAAAACGTGCTTCCTCACCCATGAGCTGCTGCTCCCTCTCCCTGGGGGCAGCCATTTTCTCTTTAAGATAATAACACCTCTTGCGGGCAGTGTCTCCTGAGTCCTTCGGGGGTAAGGAGGGTGGCGGCAAGATACCTCTTCACCCAGCACAGTGGGGGTGATGGATAGAGGCAGCCCGTGTTTGCTGGTTCCGCCAGTGAACACCTTTGACCCTTGTACCCCTGGGATTTTCAGCAGGGGCCCACAAAGGGCAGAGCAAATGAGGGGATGAGACTTGGGGGATAGTTCGGAAATGGAAGCCACCCACAAGAGGGAGCAGGGATGAGAGCCTCTGGGCCAGAGGTCCTGTTTGGGGGTAGAGTCATGGTGAGGCGGGCATCAGCGTTTCCACGACTCAGTGCCCTGTCTGCAGACTCAGCAGTGCTCAGTTAAATACTGTCCCCTCCAAATGACCCCTCTGAAAGGCCCCTCCTGAGATGTCCTTTCTCTAGGCTATGGGCCTGGAGCAGCATTACCCCCCTCCAAGGACCCCCCCATCCCAGTCTCTGTTCAGCCCCTCTCTTGAGCTCCACGTTTGCAGGACATCTGTTCCATCACCTCCAAGGCGCCTCCCATGCAGTGTGTCCAGCAGACTGTCTCCTCCCCTCTTTGTCCAGGTAATAGCCTGTCTTCCCCCCTTCTCCCTGCCGCCAGTCTCCCAGCCCGGTGGCTTCTCCTCCCATGCCAAGACCCATGCCATCTCTTCTCGGTACATCCTGGGCACCAGTTCCTTACTGCCTTCCTTCTATCCTCCTCATCCTTTCAAAATCACCACTTTGCTGTGTTAAAAAGAAACACAGAGGCCCAACGTGGTGTCCCTTCCGCTGGGTGAAGCCACTAAACCAGGGCTGACACTTAACCTAATTGCTGCTTCAACCTCCCCTAAAAAGGGAGTCAGTCAGGAATTTTCTGTCAAGCATTGATAAGATAATGTCACATGTGCCCTCTCTATTCCCCAAAGGAATCCACCTAATAAGACCATTTTGTCACCAGATGAAGGTGGCCTCACCCAAAGTAATCCTTTTCTTTGTTTGACTTCCTTGTCTGCCCTTTAAAAACCTCTCCCTCTCTGTTGCCCTTAGGGGCATTTTTCTGTTTGCTAGAGGGGATGCTGCCCAATTCATGGATTGCTTAATAAAGCCAGTTAGCTCTTCAGATTTAATTGGATGAATTTTTTTTTAACATTTTATGCGCCCTTCTAGCAGGAGCCCAGCAGTTGTGCATCACTGGGACAACTGCCTGGTGCCCCGGGAAAGACGCCCCCCTGAGGACAGGCACCATGGGCTCCCTGCAGGCGGGTGGGGCACTGTTGGCCAAGCTAAGCTCCATAGGGCTGGGCTCCTCAACCAGCAGAGTCACCCCATGGCTGGGTGGGACCTGGGAAAGGGCCTGAGCAGACAGACACAGGCACACACTTGGAGACACCAACTCCTTGCCGTCCATTGCTGAGTTCACCCCTGGGTGCTTGAGTTCACCCCTGGGTGCTTGTCCGAGTATAGGGGTGGAGGGCTGGGCAAGACAGCTCCCCATGAGGAGAGGCACAGGAGCCACACTGGACCCGTGAGGGCAATAGTCTGACTTACAGCCCCCTACAGGAGGTCCAGAAAGCAGAGAGGCTCATTCTTTGCTTAGGGGTGCCAGGCTGCACGGAGGAGGGCACACGAGCAGAGTCTGCAGTGACCAGGATGAGTCATGGAGGCAGTAAGGAGGGGACAAGTGGGCCAGGAGGAAATGGGCAGACGCTCCGTGGGGCTGAATGTGGCCACCCAGTCCTGGCTCTGGGCGCTCTCTGGGGCAGCTGGGAACCATCAAGACCGCTAAGGGCTCAGATGGGGGGAAGGCGGAGCTCTCTGGGCCAGCTGCGGGAGGAGGCCCTCCCCAGCAGAGATGCCCTTGGAGATTCAGCTCAGGGTAAGAGACATATCCACGATAAGGGCTGTGCCTGTGCGGGGGTGGCCCGGAGAGCAGCGACGGAGGTGGGACAGACAGGGCGTTCTCTCCTCTCCTCCCGGGCATCCTCCTTTCTCCAACTGGAAAACTCCTTCTTACCCCTCAAAGCCCACCTCTGCTGGGGCCTTGGGGGCGGGTCCTGGGGCCGGGGCAGCCACAGCCCGGCCCTCCCCGTCGCCCAGGCCCCCTACCGGCCCACCAGCAGCAGCTCCCGCTCCCCTGCGCGGGGCCGCAGCCGCTTCCAGATGTCCATGGTGAAGAGCGTGCTGCTGCTGTTGAAGATGGAGGTCAGCGACGACATGAGGGCGGCCATCATCACTGCGATCATCAGCCCCCGCAGACCTGGGGGCGGGGGCCACCGTGACCCTCCTGCCGGCGCCAGCAGCCTCCGCCGGTCACCTAACCTTGAGAGCAGGGTTGGGGGTGGGGGAGTGGGCCGTGGCAAGGAGGCTGGCGGCAGGAGGAGCCAGGAGGAACTGGGGGGCCCCTGAATCGCCGCTCTGGCCTGCATCCTGCTGGCAATGGCCGTCACAACTGTTCCTGCTCCTATTGTTGGTGGTGCTGCTATCAGCCTTCTCATTTCTACAGAGCCTGGCCGCTGACAAAGTGCTTTCACACCCATAACTTCATTCACAGAAGGGTTGTTAACCGGTTTGACAGATGAGGAAGTGGGAGCTCAGAGAGGGCAAGAGAGACGCCCAAGGACTCACAGCACGCCAAAGGCAGAACTCTTGGCCGGGGCAGTGGAGGTGGGGGGCCTCTGCTTGGAGGTCACAAGCAGGGCAGGTGCAGTGGGCCAGTGCCTGGGGTGTCCTGACACTTCCTGTGTGTGGCAGGCCCCAGCAGGCACAGGGGGTCCCCCTTCTTGTGGCCTGTGGAAAACGAGATGTGGTTCCCCAGCGAGGAGAGAAAAATCCACCCCATGATTGGCTGAAAACAAGTGGAGGGCCCGCACTGAGGTGGGCTAGGCACTGCTTTGCAAGGCCTTCTGGGAGTCATGGTCTGGAGGGGGCCTGGGGTGTGGGGACCCCCAAGAGGCAGAAGGATTCTCAACTTGCAGCATAATGCTGTATGGGCTCAGGCTGGTTGCCTCCCCTCTCTGGGCCTTGGTCTGTCACCGAGGACTCTCCTGCTCTTTCTTCGAGAGCCTGAGCACCGCCCCTGCCAGTGCAGCTCCCTGCGGCCTGCCCTCTGCCCCGCCTCCCCCGAGGGCTCGCCTCACATGTGGCATTTGTTGCCCGGCTGGGGTGCTGGGCCCTGGTTCTGTGTCTGGCCTGCTGTGACTTCCAGGCAGCCTGTGCTCTCTGTTCACTTACCAGGCTGACTGGGATGGGACCCAGAGGAAAGTGAGTCAGTCAGTTTTCCCCAGAACATTTCTCTACCCTCCTCTTCATGAAGGAGGGAATAAACTCGGGGGCTTATTCAACACCCATTTCCCCGATGGGAGCTCAAGGCCTAGAGAGGGGCTATGGCTCAGCAGCAGCTGGGTGGCAACACTGGGGGGCTTAGTGAGACCCCCCAGAACAGAGGGGAAGGCGAGGCCCAGAGCTAGGAACCCACAGTGAGGCCAAGCCTGTGCTAGGCAGTTTCCCTGCGTTATTACATTTAATCCTAGCAACAACGCTGAGGGGTGGGTAGGTGTCATTATGCCCAATTTACAAATGAGGACAGCGAAGCTCCCAGCAGGGAAGTCACATGTCCCAAATATCTCGGCCAGCAAGTGGTAGAGCCAAGATCTGATCCCTGGTCTGTGCACTCACATTCCCTGGGCCTTGGCATCCCTGGAGGGAGGGAAAGCAGGGTGGGGCCAGGAAGGGAGGGAGGCGGACACTCCAGAGTCTGAGACTCTGGAGCTGGAAACAGGCTGTAGAGGCCTCAGAAAGCGGCCTCCTCTTAGGTGAGGGACCTACACATCCCTGGCCATGTTGCTTCTGCTTGCACACCTCCTGTGACAGGGACCTCATCACCCCACATGGGACTGGCGGGGCTGCTGGCGCCAGGAGAAACACAGGTGCGGCTGAAACCTGCCCCATAGTTGCACCTGCTGGGGGAGCAGGTGGTGTGGGCTCCGGGGCTTGAGCTCCTGATCCTGTCAGAGCAGGCAGTGGGCTTGGGGCCCACCAGACCGTGTGTCACAGGCTCTCTAGCCACAAATAAGTCACTATCCCCTCTCTGTGTCTCGGTTTCCCTATCAATAAAATGAGCTATAAGTCTATCGTCTAGCCTTTGATGGGAAGCAGTTTATGAAAGGGTCTGGCCTGAAAGGAGGTGAGAGTGACAACCTTTCTCAAGGGATGGGACAGCACAGGTTAAGGATGAGCTCTGGAGGCAAATTACATCCAGGTTGAGACCCCAGCTTTGCAGCTCACTTGCTACATGACCTTGGCCAGATCTCAGTTTACCCTTCTTTAAAGTGGGGTCATAATAAGAGCACCAAGGGTTCTTGAGAAGAAGGGGCAAGTCGCTCTCATGTGGAGCCCTTGGGACAGTGCCTGGCACGTGGTTGGTGCCTTATGAGTGTTTTCTAGTATTATTACTTTTCTCTCTTCCCTTATGAGCAGATGTCACACAGCATCACCAGATCCAGAGTGGCCTCCTGGGCCCCCAGAGCCCCTCGCTCTCATAGGTCCCACCCAGGGTTCCACCCGCACCCCACCTGGGACCAACCCAGAGTCTCACCTACGGGCATCAGCTCCATGACCAGCTTGGGGTAGGCGACATTGGAGCAGCCGATCTCAGCCCCACAGGCCCGCAGACACTCAGCCGGCACCACGCAGGCCACATCATCTGGGTGAGAGGGATGCCCAGGGTGTCCCACGCTTGTCCCACCCCTCTCAACAAACGTGAGCACCTGGGGGCAACACAGGATCCCAGCCGGACCTACTCTGTCACCACCTCTCAGCAGCTGCTGCTCAGCCCTGGGCCTCAGTTTCCCAGTCAGGGTCACCAGGAGGGGGCTGGCCTCTGAGAACCATTCTGCCCCCAAGGCCCTCACTCTTCCCTGCCTGCTGTTCCCCATCACGGAGCCTCCTGCCTGTCTCCACCCCACCCCAGACTAGGCGGCTGGCCTGTGGTGAGGCCGTGCCATGGGAGCAGCCCCCTTCTATGCCTCCCTTAACCCTCGAACCCTTTCTTGGGGGCAGGAACCTTAGCACTTCTCCATGGCCGCGGTGCAGGGAAACCCCCTTGATGTTCCCCATTCTGGTGCCCCTCCATGCCCACAGCCACCCAGGGGCCATCTCTGCTGGTCCACACTCACAGCCCCCGGGGGGCTGACCAATGAAGGCAAATTCTGGTGCGCTAAGACTCCCACCCCTTAAGATCCAATCACCACCGACCAGATGGCCGTCCCCCATTAAGACCCAATCACCAACGCAGAACACACCCTACCTCTACTCCTTAAAAACGTGCTTCCTCACCCATGAGCTGCTGCTCCCTCTCCCTGGGGGCAGCCATTTTCTCTTTCAGATAATAACACCTCTTGCGGGCAGTGTCTCCTGAGTCCTTCGGGGGTAAGGAGGGTGGCGGCAAGATACCTCTTCACCCAGCACAGTGGGGGTGATGGATAGAGGCAGCCCGTGTTTGCTGGTTCCGCCAGTGAACACCTTTGACCCTTGTACCCCTGGGATTTTCAGCAGGGGCCCACAAAGGGCAGAGCAAATGAGGGGATGAGACTTGGGGGATAGTTCGGAAATGGAAGCCACCCACAAGAGGGAGCAGGGATGAGAGCCTCTGGGCCAGAGGTCCTGTTTGGGGGTAGAGTCATGGTGAGGCGGGCATCAGCGTTTCCACGACTCAGTGCCCTGTCTGCAGACTCAGCAGTGCTCAGTTAAATACTGTCCCCTCCAAATGACCCCTCTGAAAGGCCCCTCCTGAGATGTCCTTTCTCTAGGCTATGGGCCTGGAGCAGCATTACCCCCCTCCAAGGACCCCCCCATCCCAGTCTCTGTTCAGCCCCTCTCTTGAGCTCCACGTTTGCAGGACATCTGTTCCATCACCTCCAAGGCGCCTCCCATGCAGTGTGTCCAGCAGACTGTCTCCTCCCCTCTTTGTCCAGGTAATAGCCTGTCTTCCCCCCTTCTCCCTGCCGCCAGTCTCCCAGCCCGGTGGCTTCTCCTCCCATGCCAAGACCCATGCCATCTCTTCTCGGTACATCCTGGGCACCAGTTCCTTACTGCCTTCCTTCTATCCTCCTCATCCTTTCAAAATCACCACTTTGCTGTGTTAAAAAGAAACACAGAGGCCCAACGTGGTGTCCCTTCCGCTGGGTGAAGCCACTAAACCAGGGCTGACACTTAACCTAATTGCTGCTTCAACCTCCCCTAAAAAGGGAGTCAGTCAGGAATTTTCTGTCAAGCATTGATAAGATAATGTCACATGTGCCCTCTCTATTCCCCAAAGGAATCCACCTAATAAGACCATTTTGTCACCAGATGAAGGTGGCCTCACCCAAAGTAATCCTTTTCTTTGTTTGACTTCCTTGTCTGGCCTTTAAAAACCTCTCCCTCTCTGTTGCCCTTAGGGGCATTTTTCTGTTTGCTAGAGGGGATGCTGCCCAATTCATGGATTGCTTAATAAAGCCAGTTAGCTCTTCAGATTTAATTGGATGAATTTTTTTTTAACATTTTATATCACTGACTTCTCAGAAAACCCTCCCACTCCCATCTCTAGGACCCATGGCATTTTGGAATTAAAATCCTTTCCATGGCATTTGAGGCCCTTGACAGCTGATCCCAGGTCCTCCCACTCAGCGTCCTGCACCAGCCACCTGACCTGCTTATATCTTCTCACACACGCCCAGCCCTTTGAGACACGGTCCCCTCCTCCCCCTTGTGGACCTCCTCCCGCTTGTTTACCTCCTGCTTCGTGGCCCATTGCAAAGGGCTTGTCCTCTGAGGCCTTCCTTGACCTCCCCCCACCCCCCCACCAGCAAGGAGGGCAGAGCAGCTTCCTCCCAAGAGCTCCTATGGCCAAGGGCTGAATCATAATTGTTTGTTTGCATATTTTACCTCCCCCACCAGACAGGGACCTCCCCAAGCGCAGACACTGGGTTTGAATCATCTCCTAGTCCCAGGTATCACCCAGTTCAGGGCTGGGTCCAGAGGGGACAGCCTGTGAACATTCGTGAATGAGTGAGTAAGCCAGCGGACAGCTGGGAGGTTGCTGGAAAGGCACAGGGGGCTAGGAGGGGAGGGAGAATGAATCCCCGAGGAACAGTGAAGGCCGGGCACCGTCTGACCCGCCTGCGCTGCCCACCTCCTCTGCCACCACCGGCAGTACAGGTGATAGAAGCTGGGCCAGACAGGGCAGAACTCGCCCGGGACACAGAGTCAGACCCAGGAAGGAGCCCGGGCTCCATGGCAGGGCTTGGGCCACTGGAGCCCAGCACTTGGAGTGCAGTGATGGGCCCCTCCTGACAGGTTCTGGGCCTGGACTGCCAGCTCTGGTGCTTGGAGGACCCACTCTCCCAGAGAGACAGGTGAGGAGTCACAGGCACATCATGTCTCAGAATGCCTGTGCCAGGAGGTTCTGGCCGAGTTTATCCAGCCTGGCCCAGGCTCCCAGCATGGGGCAGCACCTCTGGGTACCACTGGCTCACTCACCTGAGTTTTTGTGCTGAACAGCAAGAAAGAACCTCTCCTTTATGACAGCAGCAGAGGTGTCTCCACTTAAAGTCCTCTGAACATGCCAACTCAGGAGAGAGCAGCCCCAGGCCAGTGAGGGGCTGGGCAGGGAGCTTCCAGATTTGCCAGAGCACCAGTTTTTATGGGCTTGGGGGCTCCCCGTTGAGCTCCACTTGTGCAGCAGCACCCCGATCCAGCCAGGGCCCACACCAGAAGATAGGGAGCTGTCCCTCTCCTCATCCCCCATGTCCATCGTGCTCCCAACCAATGCTGAGTCCAGCCACTGGGCTTGGTGCCCAGGTGAAATGCACCATCTCCTAGCTGCACCACCTGGTGTCCTCTAGCCCACCCTCCCTGCAAGCAGCAGAGAGAACTTCTAAAACAACCAGTCTGTCCACGATCCACCCTGATCACACCTTTCTGAGGCTCTCTATACCCTGCAGGGAGGATCATGACGCTCTACCTGTGCCATGCCCTGCCCTCCACCCACTTGGCCACCCTCTCCATGCCAATTTCACCCACACTTCTGGGCCTCTGTGTTTGCTGTTTCCTCTCCCTGGAACAGCCTCTCTCCCTCCATAAATGCAGGGAGCTCATACTCATTCCTCTCAACCTGTTGAGGATGTGTGGGCTTCCCAGGCCTTGAGCAATATCCTCCATGCCACCAATAACTGTGATCTATGGCAGCCTCTGCCAGTGTTTGTGGGTTGACTGAATGACCCTGTCCCAAGGAGACTACTGGACACTGGATGGTGGAGTGCTCCCCACTCCCCACTGAGGCTTGGCCCAGCCCTGGGACACAATCCAGAGGGCGACGTCACAGCAGGCAGCAGGAGAAAAGTACACAGACAGGGTTCAAGTCCACCTCTGCTAACCCCTTACTGTGTGATCCAGGGTGGTCATTTAAGGTCTCTGAGGCTGTTGCCTCTTGTGGAGACACCCAGAAGCCGAAAGCTCCGCCTCAAGCTAAATTTCACACCCAACACAAAAGTTAACTCAAAATAGATCACAGATTTAAATGTAAAATGTAAAACTATCAAACTTTGAGCAAAAAAAGAAAAAAGGGAGAAAATCTTTGGGATTTAGGGCTAAGCAGAAATCTTAGACTTGACATCAAAGGCATGATTCATCAAAGGATAAATGGATAAACTAGACCTAACCGAAAGTAAAAACTCTTGCTCTAGGACACCTGTGAAAAGGATGAAAAGAAAAGCTATGGAACAAATTCAGCAAAGTTGATTTTGCAGCATACAAAATCAGTACACAGAGGTAACTGCATTTCTGTATGCCAACAAAGTCACTGGAGAGAGAAATTAAGAAAACAATCCCATTTCTAATAGTATCAAAAAGAAAAAAACACCTAGGAATAAATTTAACAAAGGAGGTGAAAGACCTGTTACCTGAAACTATAATACATTGATGACAAAAGTTGAAGATGACACACAAATAAATGAAAAGATATTCTATCCTCACAGACTGGAAAAAATTTATATTGTCAACATGTCCATACTACCCAAAGCAATCTTCACATTCAGTGCAATCCTATCAAAATTCCATTGGCATGTTTCATACAAATAAAAAGAACAATCCTAAAATTTTCACAGATCCACAGAATATCCAAGGCAATCTTAAGAAAGAAGAACAAAATTGAAGACATGACACTTTCTGAATTCAAACTGTATTCCAAAGCTATAGTAATCAAAACAGTAGGGTATTGGCACAAAAACAGACACATAGGTCTGTGGAACAGAATGGAGACCCCAGAAATAAACCAGTGCATATGTGATCGATTAATCTAACAGAGGAGCCAGGAATATATAATGGGCAAGGATAATCTCTTCAATAAACGGTGTTGGGAAAACTAGATAGCTGAATGCAAAAGAATGAAACTGGCTCCCTATCTTGTACCATATACAGAGAACACCTCAAAATGGACTACAGATTTGAATGTAAACTCCTAGAAGAAAAAATGAGGGGTAACCCTGATTTAAAATGGGCAGAGGCCCTGAATAACATTTTGCCAGAGGAGACATACAAGCAGCCAATGGTTACATGAATAGATGCTCCACATCACTAACTATTAAGGAAATGCAGAAAAACTCACAATGAGATAGCCCCTCACACCTACTTAGAATGGCTACCAGATAGCACTAATTGGCAGGA